ATATGTTAAGAATAAAAAAGAAGAGGAAGAAGATAGCAGGAGGGGAAGAATGAAGGGGGGTAAATCGGAGGGGGAGATGAACCAGGAGAGATGATGGACTCTGAAAAACAAACTGAAGATTCTAGAGGGGAGGGGGCTGGGGGGGTGGGTTAGCCTCTGTAAGTCAGCCAGGGCCTGGACCACAACCACCCCTGGGAAGTCCAGTATTCCTGGCCTCAGGCCAGGCTGGAGGGGAGGGGGCTGGGGGGGTGGGGCCGCCCCTGGGCAGGGCACCTGGCACGGGTGGGTGAGGGGGTTGGGGTTGGGGAGAAGGAGGATCAGGCTCAAAGTGTGCCAGGGGTGGGGGGCGGGGGAAGGCGCTGGCCTGTGCCAGCAGCGATCTGCGGCTGATGTATGGCATGTGGAGCTGGAAAGCTGCCATCATAGCCCAGGAGCGGCAGGAAAAACGGAGAAGTCCGGGTGGTGCTGGCCCGAGGCTCGGTGAGTCAGGAGGGACACTCGGAGGCCTTGCGCGCTCTGCTCCGAGGGGCCTGCCTCGCGCAGGCTGGCCGGGGTCTGCAGGAGCAGCTGGGCAGACTCCCAGGTGGTGAAAGCCTCCGCTGACAAGTTCTCCTAGGGAATGATGGCCCCCCGCCCCCTCCTTCCTCTCCTGGGCTCCGGGTTCTGCTCATCCACACCGCTGGCGCAGGCAGAGTTGGACTTTTTCTGCTACTGTTTTCCGTCCTCCATGTGGCGCGGGGTGTTTTCTCCATCGTGATTGCCTGTCTTTGCTAAGCGGTTAGCCCAGCCTTCTCTTACCCTCCAGGAACCGGGGAGCAGACACCCCTTTTGGCCATCTCTGAGAGATTTGACTAGGTCTGTTGGTTCTGATGACAATGAAATAGAGTAACTTACTTCTGCTGAATGCTGTTTAAGTTCAGGCTCTGACATCTTACTGGCAGGATGCGTTTGACTGCATCTCTCCTCTTCGTGATGTTAGGCGCTGCACAGGAATGCAGGTGATCAGAAACAGAGCACTGAAGTCTGTAGATCTCTGTAGCAGGGAGTGGAGGTCTCCCACGTCCGGAGTAAAAGAAATAGCAGTTTGAGAGCTTTTGTTTCTCCTCCCTGAACCCAGAACTTACTTCTCAGGGAGATATTTCAAACCCAGTTGTCCCCATACTGGAGTATTTGGTGCTGGCTGGTCTTGTGCTTATTCCTCTTGGGGTTTCTTTCCTTTTGTCCCGGCTAAGGCTGAATGTGGTGCTTGCTGTGTGACTCTGGGCTGGGTAATGACTGAATTATGACAGATGTCCTGGACGTCACTGAAGATGGCATGTTTACCAGTTTACCAATCGGTTTTAGATAGGCTTTGGGAAGCAAAGAATGTGGAACAGCTCATAGGAAGTTTTGCTGCCCTCACCTTTTTAGATCAATACCTTTGACTTTTGGAAACTTTCCTCCTCTTTCCCCCTCCCCCACCCCTGTCTTTCAAGAGACAAATTTTAATTTAGTCGTGGTAGTGTATCCAGGCATTATGTTCAACTGTGGCCACTTTAATCAGAAGCATCTTGAGGTATCTTAATGAGGAGGGAAAAACTTTGGTGGTAAGGGTGATTTATCTCTCTGACATTGTTCTGAGGAATATTGACTGCTCTTTAATGTTGGTTTTATGTTCTTCACTGTTTTATGATGACAAGTCGAGACCAGTTAAGAATTTCTAATTTTTTATTCTGTTGAGTATTTTATCTGAGATCCCGTAGGGAGCTGTGGAACTGTATTGTGCTGTGGGAAATAGATAGTAAAAACATTTATTGAACCTTGTCCAAGGACAGCTTCTGTTTGGGTTTTCGGTGAGCCGCTCCTGAATATGCACAGTGCACATCACCACATAATCCCTAGTCTGGTCCACTGAGACCCAATGGTCTTTGTCAGATAATCTCCTGTCTTCCTCCTCCTACTTTCCCCCTTCCCTCCTTCGCAATTATACCTTGTTTGTTTTGGTGAGAGTTTAAGAGTTGAATAGTTGAATGTGGAGATCATGAGAGATGTGGAGGTCAGAACTATTGTCTGCTTTCAGGTTACGATCGCCTCATTTTATTGAAGTAACATGTGTGGGACTAGTTCTCAGAGCGTACCACAATCCCTGCTAAAGAGAAGGCCCTCACACACTGCAAATTGTCAAGAAGCAGGAACAAGTATGGAAGTAAACACTTCAGAATGCAATTTGGCTTTCAGTTGATAGCATCTAGATCTCTGTCAGTTTGGGAGGGGGAGACTTTATATAAGGGGATTCGAAATTAAAGGACATATTTGTGAGCGGAAACTTGTGGAACTGGTGATTATATGCCGGAAGAGCATAAACTGCATTTTCTTATTTTCTACTATGGGGTTAAGGAAAACATGCACTGGTGATGGTATATTAAATAAGGAAACAAAATCATCCTAACTAACCACAACACCTTCCTTGTGCTCAGCAGGAAATAACTAACAAATTCATTTTCTGTTTTCTATCTCTAAAAAAAGCCCTCTGGGCCACCAGGTCATTGGGAACATTTTCTCCTTGGAGCAGATTTACCCATTGCAAAATAGGGAAACTGGCACTCAGAAACTGTCATCATGCCCGTTACATTGAGCAACTGTGGCTGAATTGTTACTTTGTTTAGCCAGTTTCAGCTCCCAATGGTGTCTGGATTCAGAGAGTAGTGGTTCCTAGGGAGATCATCTAGAAAGGTGTGTTAGCGTGGGTTAGGACTTTGGAACAATGTATCATATGGAGGGATATTGAGATTAAAAGCTAGCACATGCCTCAGTAGCATCAGTGAGGGGTCCTACTGGACCCTTTCTAGAAGGCCCTCATGAATGGCTAATTTCACTGCAACTGTAAAATATTGATTTGAAGCCTGTGAAGTCTGGCTGAATATCTGAGGGGTATTTTTATAGATCTCATGTGTATCATTCATCCAAAATTACTACCTCTGGTGGTAAAGAGTTGAGTAAAATCTTTGCATTTCTAAGAAGCTTGCATACAGGGAGGTGTTTCTGTGCCTTCTGTGGAAAGGAGAGGAAAAAGAGAAAGGAGTCTTAGGGATTAGCAACCCTGTACAATGCTATAAAAGCATCCTGTTCTGCAAATAGTCCTGCATTTTTAATGATGGTTGCATATATTTTGGTATAATCACACCCTATCTTGTTGCTTTCCTATATATATGGTTTTAAGCTGTTTCCTTGTTACAGAGACACAGCAAATAGCGTAAAAAAAAATCATTCTTCCTTTGGGACTTTCTGATTTGCAGTTTTCTTCCAAGGTATAGTGTTCTTTGCTGTTAAAGATGGAAAAGGTGTATCCCTGGAGTCGGGGTGGGGGGGGACTTTACATCCTTTAGGATAGTTTTTTAATTAATTTGACAACCAGATTCACATATTAGAGGAAGGTGGTTCACAAAATTCAGCATAGCAAAAGCGACTGCATATTTTTAAAATGCTGTTTATTTAAAGACTCTTTTCTTCCCCAGCCAGCTGGAAACCCAGCTGTGCTGCAGCTTGAAGATGGGAAAGTGAAACTAGTCTAGAAACTGACCATTCCTAGTGATGAGGACAAGGCTTGGTTATAGAGTTAAGGGGCATAATTACCATTGTAACGTCATTAGTTCTTTTGGTGGCTGCTTTCCTCAGCAGATTGCAGTTCTTGGGGGCGGGAACCATGTCTTATCTTTGAGGTCTTTTTCCTACCTCTCCAGGCCCCCCGATGTTGGTACTGTGCCTGGTGTGTACAGGGACTCTCCTAAGTGTCTTTTAAACGGATGAAGTCAAGTGAAGTTAAAAAAGCAAGCCTCCAGATTAATACTAAAACAATCTTAACTCTCCGATCTGTGACACCAAGTCTTGTTCTGAAAAGCTCAGTTTGATGATAGCCTTTACCTGTCGCTATGGGAACCTTTTTTCCAAAGGAGTCGTTATCAACTAGAGTACTTAACCACAATGTGCTTAATCATTGTGCTGATTAGTGTTAATGGGATTTGAGCAGCGGAGAATAAAGGTCTTGCTGGAGAGGACCCTCTTTTTTTTTTTTTTTTTTTTGGAGAGTAGATTACCACTCCCTCACCCTCAAAACAAAAATAAACAAAAATAAAACAATTATCCGTTTGAATTAACAAATATTTTGGGAGCTAGAGAGGGTGGTATATTAACTAACTAGGTGACTAACTTCTTGGTCCCAATCTTTTTCCATCTTTTATCATCTAGGACATTTTCATTTTATTTCCTAATAACAAATGCATCGTTAGGTTTTTTTTCTTTATAAAATTGTATTTACTTTTTTTGAATGTGTAATATATGCCTCAATCCAGAAAGTGCATATGAATATATGAATATCAAAAGTCTCCCTCTTACCCCTGTCATCAGCTACCTATCCCTAAGGCAATTGAAAAATAACATATTCTTGGGCGCCTGGGTGGCTCAGTTGGTTGAGCGACTGCCTTCGGCTCAGGTCATGATCCCGGAGTCCCGGGATCGAGTCCCGCGTCGGGCTCCCTGCTGAGCGGGGAGTCTGCTTCTCCCTCTGAACCTCTTCCCTCTCATGCTCTCTATCTCTCATTCTCTCTCTCTCAAATAAATAAAATCTTAAAAAAGAAAAGAAAAAGAAAAATAACATATTCTTGAAATGTGTATTTCTCTAAGAGCAAAAGGTTTGTCAAAGTAGTCTTATGTTTTTCTCTTAACAGGTGGACAATGTTAATTTTGCCATTAAGTCAATTTTATAGTAAATTCTTCCCAAGTAATATATATATATATATATTTGACCTAACCCAAGTTCTTAATCACTACCCTACCTCACAAATATAACCC